GATATTTTCTTTGAAATAAAATGATGTATTTGTGTAACAATTTGAAAGTTTATTGATAAAAAAAAAGTGGCTGTAATTAAATATTAATAAGTATTTAATAAGAGCCACAGACAGTTAGGACCTCTTGACATAAGATGGAGAGATGAGTGTCTTGTGGTTGTGCTAGTTCCTTGGAAATCTGCCAAAATATGTTTAAGATTGATGGCTACAGTGAAGTTGGCGGTCGTGCTCCAAAAGTAGGCGTCTCCAGTTGTAGAGGTGGTCTCGTCAATGTGAAAAACGTCTTATTAGTTCAAGAGAAAATAGGAGGAAATGGCTAAGTTTAAACTTGTAGAAAATGAAGAACAATGCTAAGCAATTAACAGATCTTAGAAAAATGTATTAGTTCAAAGAGAAAAATAATAATTAATACTTTTAACTTTTTAAACGCTTAATGATTATCTTACCTGGCATGAGTAGACACTAGAAACTATACAGTGACATCTTATCAACGCAACGAATACCACTATCTCAGTTTGCGCTGTCTTCAAATCATCTCCAGATCTGATATCCTTGCAGTGCTGTAATCAAGTGTTAAAACCTTCCCATCCCCAAAACTATTGTTAATGATTATTATTTCTCATTTAACACTAATTTCACAACTGCAAATAAATACATTTATTGAGTAAATGTATAATTATGGGTAGAAGAAAACCGTAACCTCCACAAGAGCAATTCTAACTGCACATCCACGTTTTTTGTGAACAAACTGATCCGCACAAATGTTTATGTGATTTAAACGTTTCTCAAGGCATGTTTGTAATGGGATGAGATTTTTCAACCTGGTTTAGTTCAAAATCTGTCTATAGACTAGTAGTACACAGCAGATAACTCCTTGGCCTTAGTAGGTTTTATTGGTCATTAACAGCTCTTAGATCATTGAGATACCTTTTTAAAACCATGACCCAAAATTGACGTAAATACGGAATGGGTGAGCCTCAAAATTTATTTCTAAGTATTTTTTAATATTATGACATCATTTTACCTGGAAGTAGTGAAGTAGAGAAAATCAAATATTCTAAACTTCAAAACACTTTTCTGCTAAATAGAAAGACACTGATTGACCGCCTCGTGTCATTCAATGTCTTTGATAAACAGAAAATATTCACTTCTTAGTTCTTACCTATAAGCACACATTTTGGCAGGAATGTATAGGAAAACACCGACCCTGAAAAATATCACTATCATTCTAAATTTCTAAAGCTTCTAGGGATGACAGATATTTTGTTTCAATATTAATTATATATTAGGATAGTTCTTAGCCCATTCACTGTATTTACTATTTAAGATATTATTATTCTTCATTAATTAACTAACCTAATTCACAAGTCAGAGTTTTATCCCCGGACATGATTGCAAATCTGCTAGGTTTCTCACATCTCACTGTAAGCCCAGTGGAATAAATTTTAAATATGACTAGGAATCCATTTTGGGAAGAAAAAAAGGCTATATATTTTTCGGCCGCTTTGCGGCCGACTTGTCACTGGTCAGCTCTTCTCCCAGGTCAAGATTAGTTTGAAATGCTTAGCGTATCCATTAGAATAATTACCGGATGAATATGCAATTGCAAATTTTGAAATTAAATAAAAAATTTCTGAGAATTCTTTAATTTATTTGAAACGCAAGGAAATATTTTTTGAAAGAAGTATACAGCCTAGCATACAAATTTTTTCATACTATCCTTCTTCCTAACTCGGAAGATCGAGTTCTAAAAATTGACTCTCATCAGCATGATGAACGATTCGCTACTCTGAAAGTGGCTTCGACCTTGTGTCGATATTTATGGCCTGACTTTGGATCAGAAGCTTGCTTCTGCCAGGTTAAATACAACATTGGACAATAAACAATGATAAACTTAGGACTTAAAGCGGGATAGGGATGTATAATGGAGGGGGTTGTCTGCACTGTACTCTAGATGATCTAGGATGTGAAGCTTGCTTAAGCCTAGAAGACACGAGTTCCCCTGATATAGTAGCAATGGCTAGATTCACTTCCTTCCCACTTGCACTGTTGTTGACTTGTAGCTACAATATTAAATTGATTCGTGGAAATCGGTCTCGGATGTGAAGCTTCCTTAAGCGCCAAACCCTGAGAATACTGTATTACTCGAACTTCGAGAATTTTCTAAATGAATCTAGACTAAAGGAGCCAACTTGAATCCATAAAATTTTGAATGCTACATTTTAAAATACCGCTCTATATTTACACCGTTCACCAGTTAATATGGCTGGGAGGATTGGGAGGATTCATATTAGATTGTCGATTGTTTAAGATTAACTTGATATTTTAGCGTATCAGAGCTGAAATTTTGCATGACTATTTCAAATGACTATTTTACATGACTATTTTTTCATATTCCGGGATGTTGAGGAAGGAGGAATGGATAGCTCGCGTTTTCTGCGCGTTTTTTGGTGTCTGAATGCGCAAAAAATAGTCAAGCAATCTTATAGGTAAGAAATAGTCATGGAATCTAGGAATGCGCTCGATTCGAACTTCGAGTCGATAAAATGATGTAACATCGCGTTAGCCCTGAGAGCGACCAATTTTGATTTAATTTTAAATTAATGTGAATATTTTTTCCACAAGAATCTTTTTTTACCGGTTATCAACAAATTTTGACTAGGTGTTAAATTCCTGGACGCCTGACTATTTGCCACTGGGACTGTAAGAACAGTTCCTACTGGTACTGGTAACTCTGGTGTTAAGTCTGCTACTCCAGAAAATGCTGAACTATCAAAGCTGTTGCACACTGAAGCTAAAGTTCATTCCGTTATGATTCATACGATATTAGTATTACAAGTTTACTGGATTTCTGTTTGTTTTGAAGTTTCCAAAATATTGTTTTTCAGGAGAGTTCCTCACCAATCGAATCGAATAATTTCATGAACAGATTTATTTTGGTTTTTATTGCCCCTTACCCAATTCTCCTGTTACCACAATTTCAGCCACAACTAAGTGTCCTGTACTCTTGCTTAGTTTCACAGTGTCTCCTTCAGTGTTACAGATCAGTGTGTAGATCTGGTCTTCCTGCTCTAGTCCGTATGTTAGTTGGAGTGTTCCACAAGACTTCTGTTTTACCTCTCCCTGGTACACTGATACATCTACGTTGTTATGAGCGTCCACACATCTTCTGAAGGTAACTTCATTCTTTACACACCAATCACTAGGATTGTACCAGTTGGTGTAGAACCGGCAGTAGATAAGGACCTTGTGGATGAGGTAGGTTCTATCAAACTCTAGTTTTAACCAGCCTGCTCCGTTATCAGTTCCAGTTGCTGCTACTGTTGAGAGGTCCTTATCAACTGCATGTGCTACAGCATAAATTTCCTCGTTGTTCTGGTGCGTTTTTCCGTGTGTAACTGTTGTTGGAGTTATCTCTGCCAACTTCAGCTTAAGAACTGAAATAATTGTTCAAATATTTTGTCAACTATTTGACTTGGTGAGCCTTGTTTGAAATAAGGAAAGTAAATGCCAAAATGTTAGACGTCTTTTTCTTGAGCTTTTTTTTCTTGGTCAAACTTTAAACAGAATTAAACTTTAATTTTGACAGTACCTGTGCTAATTGTAGCAACTTCAAAAACTGCTATTTGTATTGTACTCTTGCTGAGTTTCACTGTGTCTCCTTCGGTGTTACAGATCAGTGTGTAGATCTGGTCTGCCTGCTCTAGTCCGTATGTTAGTTGGAGTGTTCCACAAGACTTCTGTTTTACTTCTCCCTGGTACACCGACACATCCACGTTGTTTTCAGCATCCACACAGTCCCTAAAGTAAGCTTCACTTCCTGCACACCAATCACCAGGACGGTACCAGTTGGTGTAGAACCGGTAGTAGATTTGAACCTTGTGGATAAAGTAGGTTCTATCAAACTCTAGCTTCAACCATGATACTGCTCCGTTATCAGTTTCAATCGCTGCTATTGTTGAGAGGTCTTTATCTGCTGCATGTGTAACTCTTGTAGGAGTTATCTCTGCTATCTTTACCTTTCGAACTGAAATATGTAGTTTAATTCGTACACTTCATGACTTCTCATTTCCAAAATGTTGCCCTGTTGACTGTTAATTGCTGAAAACCTTGACTTAATGGACCTACCCTTTGTAAGTTCATCATCTGAGTCACCAAAGACAGTCCACACCATCATAATAACAAAGAGTATGAGTTTCAGCATCATGTCACGCTGAAACTGCCTTATCTTGTACTATGTACTGATAAAGTTTAAGATAAACTAAACCAGTGCCACAAAACCAATGCTGGAAACGATAAATGTGAGCTAGTTTGCCTCTACAGAGAGCACCTCAATACGACTAATAGTTTCCTTATGGAGCATTCATAAAGCCCTCCCCTCATAACTAAACTAACAAAGGACGGACTGGCTAAGCTGAGTAATTATCTCTTAGTATTATATAATAGTTTAATAATCATTGTTCTCTGGGTCCTGGTGGGTCGAGGAATCGTGTGTATTATAACATGCCACACCTAGCACAGTTTTACAACCCTCACTTTAACTCTTTAAGTCTTTAGAGTTGTATATAATAATAAACGTCCATCTTCTAGATTATAGGCACCTCTAGAAGTCTAGAAGTCAGTAAGAAATATATAGAGATATAGTATAGATAAGAATCCTATTTATACAAATGCACACGTAACCTTTAAACTGGTGTGTAAGATTTCAAGTTCATGCTATTTGCGGCCTACCCCAGTTCCATGATATTATGACTGAGGCGACTGCATGGGGATTCTAGGGAACATAACAATATTTTGTCAATATTGGTGATTTCTTATTTTACCTTAGATCCACCGATTCCAAGGGTGTGTGGTAGTTTGCAATTAGGAGCTGAGTTTCTGTATATTTTTGAATGACGTTTAATAAGGGTTTCAGTTTGGAACAAACCATTATTTTTGTGGCACAGATATTCTTTATCTCAGTTTTAAGAAAACAAATACGTGATCACATACATATTTTAGTGCAAGACGATTTTTACATCTAAAAATCGATTATCTTGTGTAAATAAAGAGATAAAGATCCTGGTCTTACAAACGTAGAAACGGGTTAAAATATTATTCAAATGTTTAACTAAGATGAGCATGAACAATTTTACAACATGGGAGCGATCGCACAAAAATAGAAAGAAAAAGTAATCTGGATTATAAGTCCTTTTCTGAATAATATGTTCATCTGGAAAGACTTCTATTAATTACTGACAAAAAGAAATAATAATGGTTTCCCAAAGTAATCTGTGAATGTAGTGTTTTAATATCCGTAATGTTCCAGGCCCATGGTGAGATGTCTGAGATACTGTATAGCTAGCTGTAAAGTCTCCAGTTTTGTAGGTTTTCTCTTCTCGGGTAGAACTTCAGGGTAGAACTTCAGGTAGAACTTCTGGTAGAACTTCAGGTAGATTTTCTGTTAGTCTCCCGTCCGCTGTGTTATCTGAAAAAGTGATAATTGTTAATATATAAAGGAAAGGAACTTTATCAGCTGCTAATTAGTTAATTAGTTAATTAGTTATTAGCGCGAGCGGGTTCTCTGCTGATGTTCTCCTAGTTGGAAAAGATTTCAAGTACGATAATGCCAGTGTTAGCTTTATACATGGACGATTTCAATGTAAGTGATAGTGAAAGTGAAAGTACCTTCATGCGAGTAAGTTGTCTGGAGTTTACAGCAAGGCGCTTACTGTTCATCTCGTCTGGAGACTGGTTCTTTCTTCTACTTTGTCTGAACCTGTGATATATATTACGTTAAATAGAGTCCACTAAATACTTAGGCCCCTCACCCCTATACTTAGATCTTCCGGTCATTTATTTCAAGCCAATAATTGAGCGATTATCTTCCTCGAAAATATAATATCTCAGATAATATGTTCCAAATAAAAGCTAAAATACCCACTTAGATGATTGAGAAGATCTCACCGACCGAATCCTTGATTTTTAATCCAAACATGGAAGAACTATCCTGTCGGATGGTTGTACATTAATTGTTGTACATTAATTATAGTCAGTATAAATGAGCTACTAATTAATCGTTTAATACACTAATTGCACTTAATCAATGAAGAATGCATATTGCATGCTGGTGTATTTATCAGTGGAGACTACTAAAACTCTTTTTAATAGGACCCATAACATCCAAGTACCTGTTAAGGGTAGAAATTGAGGATTTTCGAGACCAGCACGAAACAGTCCTCGATGTGTGTGCTATCTTTAAGTCAGCTTTATCTGCTTCTGTAATCAGGTGTTAAAACCTCCCCATCCCCAAAATTAGTTTCAAGAATTAACAAGAATATTAAACTATTTCCACTGCATAACCTTTTCAATTATCAAGTTCTCATGAAAAGTGCTCAGAGCTAAGTTTTAAGTATTGGCAAGGATATTAAACTATTTCCACTACCTAACCTTTTGAATTATCAAGTTGTCATGAAAAGTGCTCAGAGCTTAGTTTTACGTATTGGCAAGGATATTGCACCATTTCCCATAGTATAGTTATGGCAGCTGTTTAATTCTCCATGAATGTTTCTCCGAGATTATAATAAAATATTTTAAACTTGAACACACATTCTTGCTTATACAAAGACATCGATCGATGCCCTGGTATCATTCAATGTCTTTGATAAACAGAAAATATTCACTTCTTACCTATAAGCACGCATTTTGGCAGGAATGTATAGGAAAACACCGATCCTGAAAAAAAATCACTATCATTCTAAATTTCTAAAGCTTCTAGGAATGACAGAAATTTTGTTTCAAAATTAATTATATATTAGGATAGTTCTTAGTCCATTCACTGTATTTACTATTTAAGATATTACTGTTCTTCATTAATTAACTAACCTAGTTCACAAGTCAGAGTCTTATCCCCGGATATGATTGCAAATCTGCTAGGTTTCTCACATCTCACTGTAAGAACAGTTCCTGCTGGTACTGGTAACTCTGGTGTTAAGTCTGCTACTCCAGAGAATGCTGAACTATCAAAGCTGTTGCACACTGAAGATAAAGTTCATTCCGTTATGATTCATATGATTATATTAGTATTACAAGTTGACAGGATTTCTGTGTGTTTTGAAGTTTCCAAAATAATATTTTTCAGGAGAGTTCCACACCAATCGAATCGAATAATTTTATAAACACATTTATTATTTTTGTTGTTGTGGCTCTTACCCAATTCTCCTGTAACCACAATTTCAGCCACAACTAAGTGTCCTGTACTCTTGCTGAGTTTCAGAGTGTTTCCTTCAGTGTTACAGATCAGTGTGTAGATCTGGTCTGCCTGCTCTAGTCCGTATGTTAGTTGGAGTGTTCCACAAGACTTCTGTTTTACTTCTCCCTGGTACACCTGACACATCTACATTGTTGTGATAATCTAGGCATGTCTTAAAATTGGCACTTTGTACACACCAGTCATCAGGATTGTACCAGTTGGTGTAGAACTTGTAGTAGATAAGGACCTTGTGGATAAGGTAGGTTCTATCAAACTCTAGTTTTAACCAGCCTGCTCCTTTATCAGTGTAAGTTGCTGCTACTGTTGAGAGGTCCTTATCAACTGCATGTGCTGCTGCATAACTCTCCTCGTTGTTATCTAATGTCTTCCCGTTTGTAACTTTAGGAGGAGTTATCTCTGCCAACTTCTGCTTAAGAACTGAAATAATTGCTTAACTATTTGACTTGGTGAGTCTGGTTTGAAATAAGAAAAGCAACTGCCAAAATGATAGACATTTTTTTGAAAGATTTTTTCTTGACTAAACTTTAAACAGAATTAAACTTTAATTTGACAGTACCTGTGCTAATTGTAGCTACTTCAGAGACTGCTATGAGTCCTGTACTCTTACTGAGTTTCAGAGTGTTTCCTTCAGTGTTACAGATCAGTGTGTAGATCTGGTCTGCCTGCTCTAGTCCGTATGTTAGTTGTAGTGTTCCACAAGATTTCAGCTGTTCCTCTCCCTGGTACACCGACACATCTACGTTGGTAACCGTATTTATACAATACTTGAAAGTAGCTTCATTTTGTACACACGAATAATCTGGGTTATACCAGTTGGTGTAGAACCGGTAGTAGATAAGGACTTTGTGGATAAAGTAGGTTCTATCAAACTCTAGTTTTAACCAGCCTGCTCCGTTATCAGTTTCAGTTGCTGCTACTGTTGAGAGGTCCTTATCAACTGCATATGCTGCTGCATAACTTTTCTCGTTGTTCAGGTACGTTTTTCCATGTGTAACTGTTGTTGGAGTTACCTCTGCCAACTTCAGTTTAAGAACTGAAATAATTGCTTAAATATTTTGTCAACTATTTGACTTGGTGAATCTTGTTTGAAATACGAAAAGCAACTGCCAATATGTTAGACGTCTTTTTCTTGAGCTTTTTTCTTTTTTTCTTGGTCAAAATGTAAACACAATTAAACTTGAATATTGACAGTACCTGTGCTAATTATAGCTACTTCAAAAACAGCTATGTGTCCTGTACTCTTGCTGAGTTTCACTGTGTCTCCTTCAGTGTTACAGATCAGTGTGTAGATCTGGTCTGCCTGCTCTAGTCCGTATGTTAGTTGGAGTGTTCCACAAGACTTCTGTTTTACCTCTCCCTGGTACACTGACACATCCACGTTGTTTTCAGCATCCACACATTTTCTGAAGTTAGCTTCACTAAGTGCACACCAATTATCAGGGTCGTACCAATTGGTATAGAACCGGTAGTAGATAAGGACCCTGTGGATAAGGTAGGTTCTATCAAACTCTAGTTTTAACCAGCCTGCTCCGTTATCAGTTTCAGTTGCTGCTACTGTTGAGAGGTCCTTATCAACTGCATGTGCTGCTGCACATCTTTCCTCGTTGTTTTTGTAAGGTTTTCCCTGTGTTACTGTTGAAGGTGGTATCTCTGCTACTTCTATTCTTCGAACTGAAATTCAATATTTTAACGACTTTTTGCTCACTTTATGATGTTAATTGAGTAATTGTTATGGCTTTATGGTTCTCCCTGTTATGGGGGGTATGCAACGACCATTAATGTCAGTAGATGGAATTTTGTCAAAACTGACATTGTCATTAATGGTCATTAATGATCATTAATGGTCATTAATGGTTATTAAATAATTGAAATTCTGAACTATCTTGGAAGCAACATGTCCAAGAAATTTACAATTATGATCACTTTGTATCACTTCTATAAAGTTTCTCACAGCCCCCTACATCGATTGCCAGAGTCTCGTTTGAGAAAACGAATTAATATTCGCCTAATAGAGGCTCGGACCTCGGTTTCGGAATGAGTGCCAAGCACCATTCTGTTATACGTTGGTAACTTGTCTTGTCTGTTTGCTTGTTTGCATTTGACTTAGTATAAATGCTTGTTTGCAGTTGACTTAGTATAGATGCTTGTTTACAGTTGACTTAGTATAAATGCTTGTTTGCAGTTGACTTAGTATTAATGCTTGTTTACAGTTGACTTAGTATACATGCTTGTTTGCAGTTTGCGTGGATTTGAATTGTATTGATTTCCTTTATTTGTGTTGATTGCTTTAGATAATTTGGATTTTCAATACCTCCTCACAGTACCTTCTGTGCCATCGTAAGACGATATTTGGAAATAAAAGTCGGAGATAGACATTTTTGGTACCGGCTGTTTCGAGGGTTCTGTGCCATACCAACCGGGCTGCAAAAATTCTTCTAAGCCCTGTCAACGTCAAACAATTCGAAAGGGCGACTCATTAAGTGCTACCCTTGTTCCAAAAAAGGCTAAACGTCCCCTTCGTTGCCTCGGTACCATCTTATCAATGAGTGTCTCTGCTTCAAAAAAGGGCAACTGCAGATCTAGACGAATTCCTGCCGCATCAATTTGTCCCTATCATGATGACAGTGCTCGATTTTGGGTCAAAACTTTAAACTGCCAAAGGCAGAGTATTGAACTGTAAACGAATTGTTCTATCAAATCCTAGGAAAAGATCAGCTTTTTGTTGTCCGATTCAGACTGATGACGATGTATTTCATGAAGTGCTAAAGTTGATCTACTGTGTAATTACTATATAATCGACTAGCATAATGATTTGGCTAAAATATAAATCTTGATATGATATAAGAACGGGAACGAAGTATTTAATTTTAATACCCGTGTTATTATTATTTTATTATTGATTGTTATTTTACTATTGATACGATCTGATACTCCTAAATTGCCCTTTGAATTATTATTATTGATAACTATAAGTCACCAACTGTTATCTGGTTTAAATCCCGTGGCCGCAAAATTTGTTCTTCATTACATTCGAACTTAATAAATGTAATCCCTAACTCACTCTGGAATCCACTCAAGTGATATTCTGGAAGGTCTGCCTAACCACGGAAGATTCTATTCTAAGTTTTATCTTTCGAATCTCTAATTGTAAATGTAAAATAATAACATATACTTGTAGTTAGTTAACTTAAGGTAGGGTCTAAGTGATGCAGGCGTCCGTCCTTTTCGCTCTAAGAAGTGCCGGAAAAAACATGACCATTAATGTCAGTAGATGAAATTTTGACAAAACTGACAATTGACATTGTCATTAATGGTCATTAATGGTTATTAATGGTCATTAATGGTCATTAATGGTCATTAATGGTCGTTGCATACCCCCCTGTTATGACCCTTACTAGTTTCAAATTTGTATTTTTCCATTGCTTCTTAAAGTTTGCCGACAAATTCTGTCCTCTTGTTGCCTTAATGTTGCTCCCGGTTCCCCCTTCGCTGCCAAAATGTAGCTGCCTTATAATAATTTTCGTATCCTTTTCCCCTTCTAGCTCCTATTATTTCCTTTATTTGTAACTAGAAATACGAAGCAGTGGCAATTGTGTACTTTTTTATATTTCTGATCGCTAAAAGTTTTAAAATTTGTAGTACCTTTTGAGGGGGAAGAAGTATAACAGCTTAACAGCACCCAACTTGTTAACCAGAACAACAAAACCAAATTTGCAAAACTCAACATATTATGAATGAAGAAAAAACATGGAGCAAATTCAACGCAAATAGTAAGTTAGTAATTAATACAAAATGGTATTAAAGGTTTATATTATATCATAGTAGATCCAGTGGGAAGTTATACGTCTGTGGGCTCATGATTTAAGTTGTTCATTTTGTGTATCATTAGAGGCTCTAGGTCCTAGGATAATACCATTAGCATTGCCCTGCCCTGCCCAATGTCAAATCTGCCTAATGCTTGCATTGGCCAAGTTGCTTACACTCGATGTTTAGAGAGAATATATTTTATAATAAAAACATTGAACTCTTTCCACGTTTATTATATACTAGCAGGAACCCGTATAACCCTAAAATGGTGTCAAGACTCAAGAGACTAAAATAATTATTACCTATTTAATTCGCGTTTTTGACACCACTTGGGGGTCCAAATTTTGGGCTCTAAAACTCCTATTCCTTGGCCAATTTTTTATTTTGTTCATGCTGATTTGAAAAGCATAAAAGCATTTGACCCAGTCAACAAAGTTTCAGTTGTATATCTTTTACGGTTTTTGCGGAAAATCGCGTTAAAGTTGATGACGTGGTGTCAGTAAAATGGCACAGATATATTATATATATCGTCTCGCTAATCTTTCTCAAATGCCAATCATTGAAATAAGCAATGAAATCACCGACTCCAGCAATATCAATGAAACAAATCTCAAAGATCATCTCATGGAAATTTTGTCTCCTTACTCAACTGTAATTCCTCAAAATCACCAGAGCCTCCATATTCACTGCCACCGCTCACTTGATATTCAACCAAACACCCCACAGTATACTCAATTTCAAGAAAGGCGCTCCTATGCTGTCAACTGTGTGTGCACTTTTTTCCTTCGCTGCTCCGAAGAGCGAAATAGCTTCACCGAAGATACGCGTCAGCGTAATTCAAATGCACGAAACTTAAACAATTTTACTATCAATTTGGTGAGAACCTCGCGAATTAGTCATAATTAAGACTCAAGGATAACACTGGCCCTGACTTCAAGCAAAGATGATTGTTTTCATTAACTTCTGTAAACAATTATGACGGTCCATGATAATGGATCTATAATTTAATTTTAATCCTGTGTAATCCTGTGTAATCCTGTGTAATCCGCTTTATATATAACTAGCAGGAACCCGTCTAACCCTAAAGTAGTGTCAAGACTCGAGAGACTAAAATAATTATTACCTATTTAATTCGCGTTTTTGACACCACTTGGGAGTCCAAATTTTGGGCACTAAAATTATTATTCCTTGGCCAATTTTTTATTTTTTCATGCTGATTTGAAGGCCATTAAAGCATTTAACCCAGTCAAAAAAGTTTCAGTTTAATTAAAATTTTAATTAATGATATAATAATATAAGAGCACTGGCCTTTATAATTTTTTCCCGTTTCTGTATGAAACAAGAATTGCGCCCGTTGTTTCGTTTTGGCGGACGCTAAATTTCCAATTACTATAACTATAAATATAAGCTCTAATCAGCTCACTTCATAATAATGATATTGAAAAACATCAGCTTACACTACGTGTGTACAAATTGGGCTTATTACATAATAAGTATACATTACATAGTATACATTAATGATTAAAATAAGCTCGCGCTGCGGCATTCATTGACCACAGGCTAGCTACTGTATACACAACATCTTTACTAGCAAATAGCAATCCTCGCGCGCACGGCAAGTTGACATGGTAACGGACGGAAGGAAGGAAGGAACACGACAAATTCAGACCCGCCTACCGCTATCTCCGAAAAACCACGTTTTTCTGCAAAAACGACCATTCGTAAACTTTTACTATTGCCTTTTTACAAAAGGGTGAAATGGAAAAAATGTGTAATATGATACGTGCACTGATACAATATAATGTGTAATATATAGTGCGCAACTGTTATTTGTTTTGAAACTTCCCGCCAGCCAGTGACTCCCAGTCTGTCCTGATACGCTGTCAACCCTTGAGGGAAATTATGGGTTACCAGTGTTCACGACTTTTCGGGGATATAATTCCTGGAATGAATTATAAGTTTTAACCACAGTTTCTATTAATTGTGTATGCAGACAAACTTCTGAGTATTCTCTAATCTAAACTTTTAAAAAGAAACCAGTTAAGAGTGAGAGTAAATGTTGAATCATAAAGCAGCAAAACACGCAATGATGCTTTTAAATGTTTCTGTTTGTGCACCTGTAATATTTTAATGTTGCAACTTTGCAATGTAACGACACAGTAAAAACTTTTCTCGATCCATGAGTCTTGTGCCATAGGTACAAAAGAGGGTTAGTGAATGAGGTGATTTTTAATAATATGTAAGCTTGCGACCGTGCACGTCGACCGTCTGTGCGCACACAGCTCAGTAGTTGTTAACTTCGCAAATTTATTTTGCGTAATATTCTGGATTGAGTTATTGTTGGTGCGCGGCAAAAGGTCATGTTATGGTAAAGTTTTTTGTGTTTTTAAGCAGTCGCCTAGGAAATTTCGTCAAGTTTGAAACATAGTATAGATGACTCGCTGTCTAACGTAGTTGTACCTATCATTGCTGGTATTCTAAAAGTAATTGACCTACCTTTTGTAAGTTCACCATCTGAGTCACCAAATGCAAAGACAGTCCACACCATCATAATAGCGAAGAGTATGAGTTTCAGCATCATGGCGCGCTGAAACCGCCTTATCTCGTACTATGTACTGATAAAGTTTAAGATAAACTGAACCAGTGCCACAAAACCAATGCTGGAAACTATAAATGTGAGCTAGTTTGCCTCTACAGAGAGCACCTCAATACGACTAATAGTTTTCTTATGGATCATTCATAAAGCCCTGCCCTCATAACTAAACTCACAAAGGACGGACTGGCTAAGCTGAGTAATTATCTCTTGAATATTCGTATGATCATTGTTCTCTGGGTCCTGGTCTAGGAATCTTGTGTATTACATCTTTATAACCCCACTCACCGCAAACCCAATGCTGTAAACAATAAATGTGACCAGAGCGTTTTGGGAGCAGCTGATCATGAGCTTAATATTTTAGCCCTGCCGTGCATACCAACAAAGAATACTCTTTTTTTCTCAAAGAATACTAGCTGATCTCTGGACCAGAGCGTTTTGGGAGCACCTGATTATGAGCCATTATTTTAGCCCTGCTGTGCAGACCAACAAAGAATACTCTGATCTCTGGACCTGGGACCAGAGCAGTTTGGGAGTACCTGATTATGAGCCATTATTTTGTGTGGATCATTTGTTTAGCCCTGCCCTGCAGACTAACAAATACTACAGGTCTCTCATTTCTGGAAAAGTGGTATATTTGATGACTTTTACATGTCATGGTTATTAGTACGCTATGTCTATAACACTATATGGTAATATTGTTCTGCAGTTCATCGCAGGTCGATAAATCGTGTCTATTTCAATATTACATGCGTACTAACTAAATCTCCCAAACTGATTTCATTTAATTTGCTCCTTCATAAAATAGAAAAAATATTTTTTCAAATTTGGACACAAGTCTTGTAACACCCTGTATAACACCGTATAATAATTCATATTCCCAATTATGCAAGGTGATTATAAATATAGATTTGTGTCACCTCTACGCATGGTCTCATCAACGAATGACAATTTAAGTTTATGCTGTAAAGTCAGATCAAGTCTAGAAAATAACACTGCCCATATTGTCCAGTACACAGTGGTAAGTTATTGTTATCATCTCCTATGTTACTGTTATCAAACAGCAGTTATGAGTCCCTCTTATATATTTGAAAAGTTAGATATCTACTACTTTGTGATCAATCCGCATGTTGATTTCTCTTGGAGAATTTCTCTTTAGACTCTTAACTTGCGAACAAATTGAAGCAGCAGACTTTAGGCTGTTGATAGTAGATATCTAACTACTGTTGATAGTAGATATCTAACTACTGTTGATAGTAGATATCTAACTTTTACGCATGTTGTGTTGCATTTAATGATAGGTACAATTTTAGTTTAAATTTGTTCAGATGATTATTTTTATTCTCTGTCAAAAAAACCAAGAAAAAAAATGTTTCTGATTACAAATAAACACATAACACAAATATCAGATTTAGATAAAAACGCATTCAACACACAATATTTTGATCAGTAAAAAGCAGCAGCAGTAATTCATTTGAACAATTTTCCATGGCAACGGTCGACAACTGCACTAGTGTTAAAATGTCTGTTCAGCGGCTAAATACATAAGTTATCTTTCTTTTAATTCAACAATCCCGTGCACGCAAATGACTTAAAATCCTGATGTTAAGATCGCTTTCTATCTTTTAACTTGAATGAGAATAGAAAATAAATCCCACAAAGATATAAAAATTGATTTTCAAACAATCCATCAAGGGATTATACAAAAAGCCAAGTATGTCAAGTAGTCAGTATGCTAAGTGAAAGTGAAAGTTAATGTTGAGTATGCTAGTACCCATCGTGTTCCAGGACCATGGTGAGATGTCTAAGATACTGTATAGCTAGCTGTAAAGTCTCCAGTTTTGTAGGTTTTCTCTTCTCGGGTAAGGCAGGTAGAACTTCTGTTAGTCTCTCGTATGCTGTGTTCATTATCTGAGAGAGATAATTGTTAAGTCACGGAATTTATTAAGGCTACAATACCCTATCTTAATCATAATTCATTTACTTTAGCTGGCTATTACCGTGGGGAGAGAAGAAGCACGCCTCTTTCACTTCAGCTCTAATAAAAATAAATAACATAAAATTGGGATCACGCTTAAAAAGGTTTAGATTAGACACGGGAAGTGAAAGTGAAAGTGAAAGTGAAAGTGAAAGTACCTTCATGCGAGTACGTTGTCTGGAGTTTACAGCAAGGCGCTTACTATTCATCTCGTCTGGAGACTGGTACTTTCTTCTACTTCGTCTGAACCTGTGATATATATTATAATATTACATTAGCATGAAAATAAAATTGTCTGTTTTTAATGTCTTCCTGTACTTCCTCCTAAATGAATAATTATAATTATAATTTAATAACATTCATAAATACTTAGACAGTTCACCACCACCTCCTGCATAAATATCTAATGTTTTTGATAACATAGTCTAAGAACTGGACTCTTAAATCCTAGCCAATGAATGAGAGGTTGGAAAGTGAAAGTGAAAGTGAAAGTGAATGTTGGAAGGACTAACCTGTTGGATGGTTGTACGGAGGTTGGTGTTCTCTCGACAGGTTTACAGTACTGCATCATGTGAGAATGTTGTGGCGTAGAAGAGGGTTGGTCTACCTCACTGTTACGGATAGCAAAGTGTAGGAAATGTAGCAAAATTTATAGCAAGTATAGCAAATATAGCCAACGGTAATGATGAACGATGGCAGTATAACCCGAGATAATCAGATTCAGATTGAGCACAATGTGCAGATAAAAAAGGTGTTAAAAGAATAATTCAACTGAGTAAACTCAACATAAGCCGCAGAGCTGTGAGCTACCAAATAATAGTGTAAAGGTGTAACATGTCACGTGATGAAAACGACGCCACATTTCACACACGTTTCCACTGTAACATTTAACACGTTTTGTAGGCATGTCTACCAGGCACAATGTGTAATATAGATACCCTTATATGGACATAACGTGACACTACTGACAGACTTACTAGTACGGGACGTGGACTCCGTAGGGTGGTTCCTGCTGCATCAAGTTCACATCAATCATATCGTGGAGAAAGGCAAGAAGGAAACTTAGAGTGGTTCAATAAAATAAAACCGACAATATGTGACTAAGCAAACTGCATTAAAGTGCAATATCTGAGGGGGATAAGCTACTTCTCAAGGTGTCCACTATTTCAATCTTCGTAAAACCAATGCGTCAATCAACCAGCCACGTTGAGGCACCCACTGAGAAGCTCACGTGACTCTCTATTTGCATCACGTGATAAAGTGGTAGTCACGTGGGTTGCTAGGTTACAAGTACGACAGGAGGGATGTTGTATACTTGTCAAGTAGCTGAGGTGTCGGCACTGTAAAACTGCTACTTGTCTCCACCGAGGGGGGCTGGACCCCGCCTAATCAGCTTGTTAAGTAAGAGGAGTGCTGTGAGGTAATGTTCACTTTGGAGCACGTGGTGTGACGTCATGACACATGGTGTGACGTCATGTCACGTGGTTTGGACTACTAAGGTCCGCACATTGAAGGAGTTGTGAACTCGATTAGTTTGAATATATTGATGGTGCCCTATTAATTTGCATTTCCAATTAACTCTACTTGATGATGAGCAGGTAGGAACCCTGTGGTGCTTAAAGCACTTCTAAAGGAGAGAGAGTTTTATCCATATCCGTAACTTAGCAACCCACGTGTTTATCTGTCATTGAATTATTCATCACAAAATACCACTTAAGTCTTCTTAATTAAGGTTTTCTTGAGGTGTTCTGAGGGTTTATGAGCCTACGCGTCTGTCTTTACAAAGTCTGATAATAATAATGATAATAAATGGTGCTTACAACACTACAATAAATGAGTAAAACTTATACTAAGTAATGTGAAAATAACATAATATAGAATAGAGCTTCTCCAAGTCATATTATCCTCTGTTTAACACATTTTAAGTTTTTAATTAACTAATGGTGGTAAATTGTTATATCTTTATATAGATTCGGATCTTAATCGAAAATTAGTGGGATGACCCTGGTAATCAAATAAACTGATAGAACCTGGCCCCCAGCTCCCCCCCCCCCCCCCTCCCCCACTTATACCAAGTCTGAAGTCACCTTATATCATTATCAAAACAAGTTTCATTGCATTCTGTCGTCATGGGGAAACTGTTCACTGTTGCTTGATAATTGGTCACATGACCTCTGTCGCATACCTTACTCGGGAATATTATAACCGGGATAAAGTGGTGGGTTTTGGAAGATTCCGCCATATTTTTCCCGGTCAAAAATTTTACCAGCCATAAAAAAACCCGCCGACTCAGATTATGGGGTTCCAAGGGGGTGGTGATCATCATATTTTACCTGAAGTCTCATATGTGCTAGAGAAGACTTTTGAAGCAGTGGATGGAGGGCTTTAACTTTATTGGCGGTTGCTACCATAATTTCGTTATAAAAATCACAATTTGGTTATAGAAATCAGATTTCAGGGTGGACCGTGATTCTCACTTCTCTTGCCCATGAATCAGTGAATTGTAGAGAAGAAAACAATTTATATGTTATAGAATAAAACGAAAATAATAATAATATATAATTTATATATTATAATAATAATGTCTCTAAAGATTGATCACTTCTCGTGTGCAGTGTGTAGACTAAAGAAAGAGGGAGTTTTTCCCGTTAAAGTAACTTGTGGCCACATCCCGCTAGAAGTGAGTAAACTGTGCCACTATTTCATGGTCCACGGTGGATTGATTACTGGAGCAGTTGAAGATGCAAAGCCAAGACGTTCCCCAATACCAAGCGGTGGGCAGGAAATTAAGCTCCGGCTGACCTTCAGAGCAGTAGCCCCATTAGCGGACAAAATGAAAGTCTTGTTAAGACAACAATACAACTTCGAATTTGACGGTCAGCAGCTCAGGGGGATATCAATAATGATAATGGCGGGGACATTAGCGATAATGAGAATGAGAATACGCTTTAATGAAGATTTGACTTATTATTGCTTAGATTTATTTTCCTTTAAATAGACGTGTCTTTTTTTCCTATTTCTGAGTAATATCAATAACTGTAAATTGAAATAACTTCTTTAACAAGTAACAAAAACAGAAATTTCGGTTGAAAATTTGTTGACCTCTGAAAAAAAACTTGAAAGGTCGGCCACCGGTAAATACATGACCGGGATAATTTGGCGGGTTTTGGGAAAGTCCGCCATATTTTTCCCGGTCATTAATTTTCCCAGTCATAAATTAACCCGCTATAATATTCCCGAGTAAGGTAGGCACGTGACACGTGTAGTTGATGTTTACTTCCCACAAACCACATATTTAACTCTAAGTGTAAACACTCGATGCGCTTCTTGTATACACAAAGACAGACACTTGGTGCCCCGGGGTACTCAATGCTGTCTTTAGATCAACTCTCGCTCCTTTTGGGGGAAGGAATGGCCGCGGTAAATCAGGGTTTTACTGTATTATTTCTTTATTTGTATTATGCATGCACATTGCACATATTATATTCTTAAATGCCAATCGCTAAACAATTTATACAACAATTAGTTAAAGTCTGCTTAAACGGAAAATGGAGTTTTAGAATGATGCAATTACACTATACTTGGAATGAACTTAACAATTATTATTAGAAATGCATAATAACTTTTTACTTTTTTTAACAATCGCATTTATTTCAGCAATTCTGTGCTTTCTTCATTTTCCTTCCAAACTTCAAACAACTTAAACGCTGTCGTCCTCGCAACCTGCACTAACGGAATCTTTCTCCTAACATCTCCAATATCCATCTTAACCTCCTTGTATAGGCTTTCTTGTTCACCGAAGCCGAACTCTGTTGCATCTGCAGTGTCTGCCCCGTAGTAAACAGTACTTATGTCAGACCAGTGAGCTGCTCCAAAAAAAATGGGACACGTTGTGTACAGAGGTACAGATCACATCCTGTTAGGTAAATTGTGCCTGAAGCAAGACTGTGAAAGTGAAAGTGAAAGTGATCTAGGTAAACTGAGCCTGAAATGAGACAGGACTTGATTCACAAACTATCGCAAAATATTCTTGGTATTGTTTCATTCAAAAGAGAGTATCATTCTAGTAAAAAAGGGGGCCGGAGTCAAATGAAAGTAAAATGAAGTATGTTACCTATAACTAGTGATAAAGTTCTGCAATTATTACTGTATTACCCCGATTTACCGCGGAGTTTGGGATAAATACATAAATCAGGGTTTGCGCTTTTGCGGTAAATCGGGGTTTTGATTGTTTACATTATGTATGTATGTTACGCCCCATTTGGGGGAAAGGAAATGGCCGCGGGGTAAAATCGGGATTTTACTGTACCTAGATTCTTGCACGCGTCTATAATAGCTTCAATCTCTCCATGTTCTGTTGGGTCCATGTTGGATGTGATTCTGTTCGTTCCCTGCCCCACAATCTCTCCGTTTCTTACTACCACAGCTCCAAATAGCTCTCCTTCTCCTCCTCTTATACCCCACTTCTACAGCTTTATCCATAAATGTAGGGTCTCCCATTATTAACTGTTACTACAGGCACAGTAAGAGCACTTAGAGGCTAGTTTATACTGTAACTAATTAGAAGCACAATGAAAATAATCAGTCAGTGAAAATAATCAATCAGTGAAAATAATGAATGATGAGTGAAAATAATCAACGATCAGTGAAAATACTGAACAGGGAAACAAGTTGATACCAAGCATTAAGGGGACATACACCAAAACCTTTTTTGCCGGGACCCGGGATTTGACTTCATATTATGAAAGTATAAATTACAACTGTAAGATTTGAGGCATTGAAAATTTTTTTTGAGAGTACGCACATTCGAAAAAAAAATTATTTTCTTTTTGGAAAGTTTTGGAAATTTTGAAAAGCCTGTCACTGTAATACCGGTATTTCAGTCATTTTAAACGTTTTTTGACTGATTTTTTAACTGAACATTATTTACAATCCGTAAAAGAAGCCCTTCAAAGGATTTTATAATTAAAATATAGATGACGAAGTTACAGACCAAACAAGGTCGAGAGAAGCAAAATTGAAATTTTTGTAAAAATCAAAGTTGTATATTTTACCATTCACCCAGGTCATAAGATATCGCTTCAAAAATTCTTGTGATTGTAGCTAATGATCATATCCAACTTTTTAAAACAGGATTTCTCTCAATTTTGAGTTTTAAGGTATGAAATGTGGCCTCAAACGACTTAGTAAAATTCATCGTAAAAAAGGGCCAAACATGGCAGATTTAAGGCTTAAAATGCTTATGACTCAAAAAGTATCAGTTTTTTTGAAATAATTTTTACAGGATCGTAATCAGCTTGGTAAGACGAATCTTTTAGTACCAAATGTATAATAGTTAAAGACACAAAATTTTTACAATTTGTACAACCCTTGTGTTCGAGCTGGAAAATTATTTAAGACAATTTGTCTTCTAAAATCACCTATTTGGTACTAAAAGATTCGTCTTCTCAAGCTGATTACGATTCTGTAAAAATTATTTCAAAAAAAACTGACACTTTTTGAGTTATAGGCATTTTAAGCCTTAAATCTGCCATGTTTGGCCCTTTTTTACGATGAATGTTACTAAGTCGTTTGAGGCCACATTTCATACCATAAAACTCAAAATTGAGAGAAATCCTGTTCCAAAAAGTTGGATATAATCATTAGCTACACTCACAAGAATTTTTGAAGCGATATCTTATGACCTGGGTGATTGGTAAAATATACAACTTTGATTTTTACAAAAATTTCAATTTTGCTTCTCTCGACCTTGTTTGGTCTGTAACTTCGTCATCTACATTTTAATTATAAAATCCTTTGAAGGGCTTCTTGTACGGATTGTAAATAATGTTCAGTTAAAAAATCAGTCAAAAAACGTTTAAAATGACTGAAATATCGGTATTACAGTGACAGGCTTTTCAAAATTTCCAAAACTTTCCGAAAAGAAAATAATTTTTTTTTCGAATGTGCGTACTCTCAAAAAAATTTTTCAATGCCTCAAATCTTACAGTTGTAATCTATACTTTCATAATATGAAGTCAAATCCCGGGTCTTGGCAAAAAAGGTTTTGGTGTATGTCCCCTTAAAACACAATTAATGATGAAGAAGAACAGTAAAGCTTAGAAATTCTATACAGGCTCACTAAAATACGCGTTAATAAAGTAATAAGAGGTGAGGTTTAGATAAAGTCGACAAATAAGAAGGAACAGGCTAGGTGGGATTAGAACTTTAGAATGTTAGAATAGAAAAGGTGTAGTTAAGTGTTGTACTAAAGGTGTAGTTAAGTGTTGTACTAAAGGTGTAGTGTTCCCCGGTGCGAAGTCTGATGAGGACACTCACCAATTAAACAATGCGCAGGCGGGTTATAATATATAATGCGTTTTAAATAATATTATACATCATCAATCATGCCTTGAGAAAAGTTTAGTGTGTAGACAGCATAAAATTGTGTACAGATAGGATTCGATTCATATCAGTTTTTTCACAAAAAATGTGGATTTGCAGTTAGAATTGTTCTTGTGCAGGCAACAAGGTTACCAGGTTAAGGTTTTTCTACCCATGTTATATTATATTTATGGGATAATATGTATTGCTTTACTCATGTTGGTACTTGGAATGTCGTACGAGCTTTAGTCTGAGTCGGGTATACTGCAGGAATTGTGTGTCTTTTTGATCCACATGAGTTGTTGAATATTACGTACTGGTCAGTGGTCAGGAAGGAATTAGGTCCTTAACCACTAGTTCATGTACATTTCCAGATATTATAATATTTATATAAAATATTTTTAAATATTTTATAGTCCAATTGTCCAAATCAGGGCAAATAATTGACCTAATTAGGAGGTGTGGAAACTTAAGTATGATCTCATCCCTAATGTATTTGAAACATGCAAACGAGAAAAAAATATTCAGATTTATCACCCACGACAGGTATAATTAAAATCAAGAAGAAATCTGAAATACCCTGATGTAATCTACATTTGTCGGCCGGGTGGTGTAGTGGTAACACGATCGCCTCCCAAGCAGAAGACCCGGGTTCAAATCCGGTCGGATACAAGTCGGCCAGTTACCAAGCTGTGATTTGGTACAGCTTCGGCTGGTGATACACACTCTCTGGCTCGTAGGACTACCCCCCCTACAGCTAGTATAGTGCCTCGGCACAGAGTGGCTTAGGGTTACTGAAAAGGAGATAAGCACCTCAGGCCATCCCAACGTTCGGGAGAGACCTGCCCTTGTATCTTGTTGTTATCTACATTTTTATCGATTAGTTGCAATCAAGTTACACAGTCAGTATGATTACCTAAATAACCATATCACAGGGCGTTAAGAACACTAGTTCAGAAAGAGAAGTTATCTGATATAAACGTGGGTGAAATAGTAGCCAGATCAGAAGGGGACCTCAGGAACGCTGTTCTGTCTCTGCAGTTTAATGGAGTTACTACAAATCATACCTCAAGTTAGTTTAATATCTACTGTTCTGTCTCTGCAGTTTAATGGAGTTACTACAAATCGTACCTCAAGTTAGTTTAATATCTTACGTTAATTAAATATCAAGTTAGTTAAATATCAAATCATACCTCAAGTTAGTTTAATATCTAAGATTAGCAAACTGCAAGTTGTAGTGTATCTACGAGTTGATCACTGACTTTTTATGATCTGTGATTTGCCAAAGAGTTAATATATCGCATAACTCGAGATAAATACTTTATCTGTACTTTAGATTATTTTATAGACCATTTTTCAGAAAAGGGTCCAACAAAAAGACGAAAAATAGCATCGAAAGAGTCAAAGACTAAAACTTCAACTACTGGGAAGGATTCTACATTGTTTTTCTTTCACGCATTAGGTTTGCTCACTAATTTATTAATTAATTGCCTGATTATAGCTACATAAATTAATTAATCAACTTACTGATTATTGCCAAAGTTGAAAGTTACTGCTTCGCTTTCATTTACAGGGATCATTCTAGCCCATTTTCAAGAGAAAATGCCTTGTCAAAATCTAATGTCAGAAACCTGCGTCTGTTTATAATTTACAAACCGCCTAGTCAAGAAACCGGTTAGGAGACCGGTCTTTTCGGCATAATTCCGACAAACCTCTGAGGAGTCTGAGGAAGTTATTAAACAAACTTTGAAAACAATCGGCCTTCGGTAAATGGTTCAATTGGTGGTTTGATTGGTGGCCTGCCGCTTTTTATTGCAGCGGCAGTTCGATCTGAAATATTATAGATATATAGACTAGTTTTAATACTTTCAATACTACTATATGAAAAATAACTTGAGCTAGCAGAATGGTTTTCAGAGGGCATTAATGAAATGTACTATGAGCTGGTCCCAAGTCCAGACGCTATTTTATTCTTTGTAATTTCAATAACCCTGTCTATGATAGACTAGGTCTAATTCGATCACGATTCTCGGTATCAGTGAGGGAGTGACATCATCCCTAACTGTTTTATAGGAAGGTCAGTTGGAGCACAACATTTCGTTTCAAAGTTTCAATACGTTGAGTGTTATACGTTGAGTATATTATTTGTATCTACTGTGATACAAAAGTAGTAGCACTAGTAGTCTCTTTCTCTTTCTGACCTGTAATAAGCGGGCCTCGTGCATGTTACTCGAGTGAGAGGCACTGTAGAGGGAGTCCTTCTCACCAAGGCGTTATAGAACGCAAAAGTACTCATTTATGTTATTGATATTTGATACGTTATTTAGGTTGAATACTCCAGCTGTTTACAGCGAATTGTTTGTTTTAGTTCAATGCCCTGATCTCAGAGTGATGTTATCTCAAATCCTAGTATATAGTATACTAACTATAGTAATAGTTAGTTTTTGTTTCGTTTGAAATTTGGCCGATGTATCTTGATCGCTTGATAATTTTGTTGAATTGCAGGTTTCGACTGAGCGGTTCACACTTTTGCACCTTTTTAACTGTAAAGGTGAAATCTCAGCCGTAGGGTCACATTATATGAGTATCTTTATAAAAGTATGATTTTGTAGCTTCCTGTTTTGCATTACCAGGTAACACATAACTAATCATTTACTTACTACAGTAGTATAGTTACTTACTATTCATTCTGTTACAGGAAAGTTTTTGTACGCTAAACGGGTAGAAGGTTCCAGAAAGGACTGTACTGATACCAAACTAGGACGCTGTGAACTAGAGTTTGTACCGGAGGAAGTCGCAGAGAAGTGTGCTGTAAGTGGGGGACTGCTCACTGAGTTCCTACATCACAATTATCTGGGGTTAGTTAGTTAATATATTGGTTTTTGATCCTGGTCATTAGAAACACCCCTAAAAGTTAATATTGGTTTGTAATGATTATAATACAGTCTATCTATTACGGTCCTCTCGGGGGAAACCAGTTACCAGTTACCAGTTACCAGTTGCAGTTACCAGTTACCATTCTTGCAGGTTTCAAAACGAAATAGAAAACACATTGTTAGCTACAGATTCGCTGTGTGACAGTGATATTATATCTTCCCATTGGACAGATGACAAAGAAGCACTGGATAGATTAGATTGGTATTCTAAATCTCTGACTACTCGGGGTGTCGTGTTTTCTAAAGATGTCAGCTTTGTTCCCAAGTATGACTCTTAACTGATAACATCTTTTTTTTTAAACTAAATTTCTAGAAACTTTTTAAGTAAATCATGTAAAAATGTTATCTGTTTTATTTACCATGTTAATCTTTAATAATAATTTTAATATTTCAGGTTTATGCCTCTTTGCAGGCCCGTTCAGCGGGACATTTCCAAAACAAGTCTCGAAAATCAGGAAAAGTGCAGGGATGTCTTTGCGTTGCAACATATGGGGGCAAATTCATGCTTTTTGTTGGACACAATGCCATTTTTCAAAAAGATTGGGTATGTTTTCAATTATTGCTTTTTCATGAATCAATGTTTTTGGAAACGTTTCGGAAACTTGAGACAAAATTGAGCTGTTTTTCTGTAAACTTTCCAAACATCTCAAGTTTCGTCGGTAGCACTAAGAAAAAGTTGTTCGAGTTGCGCGCGTATCATTTTCTGTGATTAAAACACGTTTTACTTCGTAGGCATCTTCTACTCAGAATAATTGAGCGAACCACATGTTAATTTTGCGCGCGAATTACTCGATTGATAGATCCCGGATCTTTTAATAATTACGGGCGGAGCTTTGATTAATATCTTTAATTTGTTTTTTAGGTACAAAGCTAATAATTCCGAGGAATATTCTTTGATCCAGAAGATGACTTACTTTAAAACCTCTGCAAAGTGTGGCGTTTCCCTCAACAATAATGTACGTGTATTTCCATTTCTTCTCATCCTCTTTAAGGATATCTACCTTCTATTTATATTTTATTGAATGAATCTTCAATATCTGTTGGATTAATTCCGATATTTTATATCAAATTCTCATAATTAAGTTCACTCTGATAAATTTCTGACTGGTTGTCAACTTTAACCATATTCTATCAGGAGGGAGTCGAAGAAGAAGGGAGTTCGGTATCATCTTCTTACAAGAAGAAGGAAGATGCCGATATGCTGGTTGCAAAAGAAATGGAGGAGGAAATAGCAGATTTTAGCGATTAGATTTTTAAATACAATTGATTAGAACTTTTTTGTTTAGGCATCAATGTTGAGTAAAATGTTTTTAAAGGTTTGCTTCGTTTTTGAAGTGATTTTGTTTTTCTATTACAATTTTATTGCTTATTTCACATTTCATTATCATATATTTGATATAGCTAATTATTCTTTTCTCCCAGTTTCGTCGTTCTAATCTGAACTTTGACGGCACCATGACAGCTTTAAGCAGAATTATATTTTCCTCCTCAGTTTCGCTTCGTAACCCTTAAGTTCCATGGCCAATTAATACAGTGAAAAAAAAATTGCAGTTTTTATTTGTGAAATAGAATTAATTTTAATTTGTGAAATAAAATTGAAAATTTGCCATGGAACTAGAGGGTAACACAACTTTATTTACGTTATCTATAGCTGATAAACCTGTTTTTGTAATCCTAATAATTGAAACAGTCTTAATCTCCACCATATGACAACTTCCAAAGTTTAACACCCCTCACATTTTAGCATGGGACGAAACAACCGGTACAAAGACAAGAGAAAGGCTGCAAGGGACGAGAAATTCAGCAGGAATCCCGACGAAGGTAAAATAGAGCCGAGGTTGAGGACAGAGGAGAGGACAGAGGAAACAAGCTGGGCAGCCTGTTTGGGGAAACTTGCAATGTGGGACTTTGAGCAGTGCGACCCTAAAAGATGCACAGGTTAGTCATTCAGTAGGTTAGGCAGGTAGATTATTCAGGTAACTTATACAGGTTAGTCATTCAGTAGGTTAGGCAGGCAGATTATTCAGGTTTCTAACAATTACATTACGTCTCCACCTCATAACAAAACCCTTTTATAAATCTCCCTCTCACAGTATTTCCCTCATGTTCAGGTAGAAAGTTGGCTAGGTTCGGAGTCCTGCAAACACTGAGAGTTAACCAGAGGTTTCCCGGAGTTTGTCTCTCTCCTACTGGAACCCTTGTCGTCAGCCCCGCTGACAGGTGGGTACTAGGTACTAGTTACTGGTTACTAGTTACTATTTACTGGTTACTGGTTACTAGTTACTATTTACTGGTTACTGTTTATCAAATAACGGAGTAGTTCGCTGTTTATTAGTCTCATGATTGAAATACTGATATCTGGATATTATCCGGTTGGAAGAGACAAGGACAAGTGAAACAAGGAAGTTAGGAGTAAGGGCAAATTTTCGGCGTCAACGCCATCTTCAGGCTAAAATTGTTATAAATGTTAGTATATAATAAATGCTTCTATACTAGTTAAAATGCTAAATTAAAATTACACACACTGAATACAGGTTACATCAAATGGTATTGTACATTACATTGAAAATAGTGATGTACACACGTTTTACACTCTGTCCAAGTACATAATATCTACTGAACAGCAGGGTCGTGTGCTATTTGTTTAAATTTGTCTTTGAATATGTTGTAAAAGAAATCCCTTAAGCTTCTCGCACTCTTCTTTGTTATTGATACTAGGTTTAAATAAATTAATGTAGTAAGCTTCTGTCACTTTACGTTTAATGGTGCTATATAAGTTAATTTCTAAAATATCGAAGGAAATATCTGGTTCTATGTTATCGTGAAACTCTGAATAATGAGCAGCCAACGCATTATCAGGATAGGTTAAAGGCCTGTTGACTGCTCTTCGATGCTCTGAAAATCTATCGTGTGCTGTTCTACTCGTTTCCCCTATATATAGCTCTTGACATAATTTACACGTAACTTTGTATATGACACATTTTGGTTTGCAGTCGTGATTTGTTGTGATGAGTGGACATATGATACAGTTTGGTATGGTGCAGTGTGGTTTGTCGTGTGGTCGTGATGAACATAAGATCTCTGAGAGTTTCTTACCTGGTGTGAATATGAATTTGACCGGTAAGTTGTGTGAGAGGGCAAATTGAGTGACTTCTTTGGAAAATGGCTCGTTGATGAATGGTAGAGTGCATGTTACGTGGTCGGTATCTTGTATGTTTGATGATGAAGGGTTATGACGTGTTGTAGGTGAGAGAGGGTGAAGTCGTCCTGTTTTGTTTATACGTCGTGGGTCTTGGTAACCGTTGTTGACCAACAAGTTGTCTACTATCTTCATGGACTCTTCTTTATACTCTGGTGTTGATGAGCAAAAAGCAGCCGTTTTGTAGAAGTTCTTGATGGTTGCTACTTTAGTTCCCTCATTGTGGTGGCTGTTGGCGTGCAGTGTGAATATCACACTGCACGCCAACAGCCACCACAATGAGGGAACTAAAGTAGCAACCATCAAGAACTTCTACAAAACGGCTGCTTTTTGCTCATCAACACCAGAGTATAAAGAAGAGTCCATGAAGATAGTAGACAACTTGTTGGTCAACAACGGTTACCAAGACCCACGACGTATAAACAAAACAGGACGACTTCACCCTCTCTCACCTACAACACGTCATAACCCTTCATCATCAAACATACAAGATACCGACCACGTAACATGCACTCTACCATTCATCAACGAGCCATTTTCCAAAGAAGTCACTCAATTTGCCCTCTCACACAACTTACCGGTCAAATTCATATTCACACCAGGTAAGAAACTCTCAGAGATCTTATGTTCATCACGACCACACGACAAACCACACTGCACCATACCAAACTGTATCATATGTCCACTCATCACAACAAATCACGACTGCAAACCAAAATGTGTCATATACAAAGTTACGTGTAAATTATGTCAAGAGCTATATATAGGGGAAACGAGTAGAACAGCACACGATAGATTTTCAGAGCATCGAAGAGCAGTCAACAGGCCTTTAACCTATCCTGATAATGCGTTGGCTGCTCATTATTCAGAGTTTCACGATAACATAGAACCAGATATTTCCTTCGATATTTTAGAAATTAACTTATATAGCACCATTAAACGTAAAGTGACAGAAGCTTACTACATTAATTTATTTAAACCTAGTATCAATAACAAAGAAGAGTGCGAGAAGCTTAAGGGATTTCTTTTACAACATATTCAAAGACAAATTTAAACAAATAGCACACGACCCTGCTGTTCAGTAGATATTATGTACTTGGACAGAGTGTAAAACGTGTGTACATCACTATTTTCAATGTAATGTACAATACCATTTGATGTAACCTGTATTCAGTGTGTGTAATTTTAATTTAGCATTTTAACTAGTATAGAAGCATTTATTATATACTAACATTTATAACAATTTTAGCCTGAAGATGGCGTTGACGCCGAAAATTTGCCCTTACTCCTAACTTCCTTGTTTCACTTGTCCTTGTCTCTTCCAACCGGATAATATCCAGATATCGGTTACTGTTTACTAGTTACTAGTTACTGGTTACTATTTACTGGTTACTGTTTACTAGTTACTAGTTACTATTTACTGGTTACTGGTTACTAGTTACTGGTTACTGGTTACTAGTTACTGGTTACTAGTTACTAAGTACTAGTTACTGGTTACTAGTTACTGGTTACTAGTTACTGGTTACTAGTTACTGGTTACTGGTTACTAGTTACTGGTTACTAGTTACTGGTTACTGGTTACTGGTTACTAGTTACTGGTTACTAGTTACTAGTTACTGGTTACTGGTTACTAGTTACTGGTTACTGGTTACTGGTTACTAGTTACTGGTTACTAGGTACTAGTTACTGGTTACTAGTTACTATTTACTGGTTACTAGTTACTGGTTACTAGTTACTATTTACTGGTTACTAGTTACTTGTATAGTTGTAACTAGTTACTGGTTACTGGTTACTGGTTACTGGTTACTATTTACTGGTTACTAGTTACTGGTTACTAGTTACTGGTTACTAGTGACTGGTTACTAGTTACTGGTTACTAGTTACTGGTTACTAGTTACTGGTTACTAGTTACTGGTTACTAGTTACTGGTTACTAGTTACTGGTTACTAGTTACTAGTTACTGGTTACTAGTTACTGGTTACTAGTTACTGGTTACTAGTTACTGGTTACTAGTTACTAGTTACTTGTATAGTTGTAATTAGTTACTAGTTACTGGTTACTAGTTACTAGTTACTGGTTACTAGTTACTAGTTACTAGTTACTGATTACTGGTTACTGGTTACTAGTATAGTTGTAACTAGTTACTAGTTACTGGTTACTTGTTACTAGTTACTAGTTACTAGTTACTAGTTACTAGTTACTAGTTACTGATTACTGGTTACTTGTTACTAGTTACTAGTTACTGGTTACTAGTTACTAGTTACTAGTTACTAGTTACTAGTTACTAGTTACTAGTTACTGGTTTTCATCTTTTGATTTTACCGTTTTTTGTATAAAGAATACCGAGAAATTATGGTGGTGAAGTATTAATTCTAGAATTTTCATCGGAAATCTCCGAAAAGCCTAATTCTTAACTTCCAAATTCATCCGTGCCCTTTAGCAAAAGCTTGATAGTAAATTCTATTGTCAGCATATGCAAGGATTTGACTTTCAGGGATATAATAGCAAAGCATGGTCTCTGTGTTGTAGACTGCTCCTGGGCTGAAATAGACAACACCCCCATAGCCCGCCTCAAGATCGGGTACCCAAGGTATGTTACTATTTAATTCTATCTAAGGTTTTCAGCGTACTTATAATTGATAAATAATGTACATATTATCAATTATAATTATTCAGAAGTAAGGGAATCTAATCACCATTATTCCACCCTCCCTCCCAGGCTGTTACCGTATCTAGTAGCCGCTAACCCTGTGAACTACGGAAAACCGTGGAAGCTGACCTGTGTAGAAGCCCTAGCAGCTGCTTACTACATAGCGGGGTTTAAGGAACAAGCCGGAGTGGTTCTGGTCAAGTTCAAATGGGGAGGTGAGTTTCTTTAATTTCAAGCAGGAGTGGTTCTGGTCGAGTTCAGATGGGGAGGTGAGTTTCTTTAATTTCAAGCCGGAGTGGTTCTGGTCAAGTTCAAATGGGGAGGTGAGTTTCTTTAATTTCAAGCAGGAGTGGTTCTGGTCAAGTTCAAATGGGGAGGTGAGTTTCTTTAATTTCAAGCAGGAGTGGTTCTGGTCGAGTTCAAATGGGGAGGTGAGTTTCTTTAATTTCAAGCAGGAGTGGTTCTGGTCAAGTTCCAATGGGGAGGTGAGTTTCTTTAATTTCAAGCCGGAGTGGTTCTGGTCAAGTTCAAATGGGGAGGTGAGTTTCTTTAATTTCAAGCAGGAGTGGTTCTGGTCAAGTTCAAATGGGGAGGTGAGTTTCTTTAATTTCAAGCCGGAGTGGTTCTGGTCGAGTTCCAATGGGGAGGTGAGTTTCTTTAATTTCAAGCCGGAGTGGTTCTGGTCGAGTTCAAATGGGGAGGTGAGTTTCTTTAATTTCAAGCAGGAGTGGTTCTGGTCGAGTTCAAATGGGGAGGTGAGTTTCTTTAATTTCAAGCCCGAGTGGTTCTGGTCAAGTTCAAATGGGGAGGTGAGTTTCTTTAATTTCAAGCCGGAGTGGTTCTGGTCAAGTTCAAATGGGGAGGTGAGTTTCTTTAATTTCAAGCCGGAGTGGTTCTGGTCAAGTTCAAATGGGGAGGTGAGTTTCTTTAATTTCAAGCAGGAGTGGTTCTGGTCAAGTTCAAATGGGGAGGTGAGTTTCTTTAATTTCAAGCCGGAGTGTTTCTGGTCGAGTTCAAATGGGGAGGTGAGTTTCTTTAATTTCAAGCCCAAGTGGTTCTGGTCAAGTTCAAATGGGGAGGTGATTTTATTTAATTTCAAGCCGGAGTGGTTCTGGTCAAGTTCAAATGGGGAGGTGAGTTTCTTTAATTTCAAGCCCGAGTGGTTCTGGTCGAGTTCCAATGGGGAGGTGAGTTTCTTTAATTTCAAGCCCGAGTGGTTCTGGTCGAGTTCCAATGGGGAGGTGAGTTTCTTTAATTTCAAGCAGGAGTGGTTCTGGTCGAGTTCAAATGGGGAGGTGAGTTTCTTTAATTTCAAGCCCGAGTGGTTCTGGTCAAGTTCAAATGGGGAGGTGAGTTTCTTTAATTTCAAGCCCGAGTGGTTCTGGTCAAGTTTAAATGGGGAGGTGAGTTTCTTTAATTTCAAGCCCGAGTGGTTCTGGTCAAGTTTAAATGGGGAGGTGAGTTTCTTTAATTTCAAGCCCGAGTGGTTCTGGTCAAGTTCAAATGGGGAGGTGAGTTTCTTTAATTTCAAGCCGGAGTGGTTCTGGTCAAGTTCAAATGGGGAGGTGAGTTTCTTTAATTTCAAGCCGGAGTGGTTCTGGTCGAGTTCAAATGGGGAGGTTAGTTTCTTTAATTTCAAGCCCCAGTGGTTCTGGTCAAGTTCAAATGGGGAGGTGAGTTTCTTTAATTTCAAGCCCGAGTGGTTCTGGTCAAGTTCAAATGGGGAGGTGAGTTTCTTTAATTTCAAGCCGGAGTGGTTCTGGTCAAGTTCAAATTAGGGTTGCCATTATCGGTACAATTCTTTTTATCGCGATAATCGATAATTTTTTCGAAATTATCGCGATAATATCGGTTATCGGCGATAAATTTGGCAAGATAATTGAAGTTATATTTGTCTGCACTCTGCATACTTATTATGCTCCTATGCTATGTAACCTTGTAATATCATCATTATATAGCAACAAAATGGCATGAAATGTAAAAAATCAACAATCAGCAAATCTAACGAAGATTCATTCAAGTTACAACATAGTTTATTCAAAAATGTCTGCTGGCGTGGTACGACATATAATGAACGGCGTATTTCTTAGATAGAGTCAGTTTCCTGCCTGTTAGTTGTGAATAGGTCGATCTCCCGAGCAAGGGTATCTATCCTTGGTACCGAGTTTTCGAATGGCCTGTAAGTCCTGATAACCAGTCTGAGTTCCTTTCTGTGCTTCAACCAGGGGTCGACCGAGGGCAGGATTTTCGACCGAGGCCGAGGCCGAGGAAAATACAGTTAGTTAAGACCGAGGCCGAGGACAACCGAGGTTTCTTTTTTTGACCGAGGCCGAGGCCGAGGCCGAGGAGTGCAAATTTTGACCGAGGCCGAGGCCGAGGCCGAGGAATTTTGGCAGAAAAATTGTTGGGAAAAAGGGCATTGTTTATTAGGAAAAGCGCACTGTACCTAATCAGATTGTACTGTGTACTATACTGTGTACACACGTTACAATCATTATGAAGGGGCAAGTTCGCCAAGAGTCAGGAGTGGGCATGCTAATAAGCAGAGCTATCCGAGGTACCGCGACAATTGACCCCCCGACAATTGACCCCCGACAATTGACCCCCCGACAATTGACCCCCCGACAATTGACCCCTATGTAATTACACTGGGGTCAATTGTCGCGAAATCTAGGGTTTAGTACGACAATTGACCCCCCGACAATTGACCCCCATGTAATTACACTGGGGTCAATTGATCGGGTCCTGGGTCAGGGTTAGGGTTAGGGTTAGGGTTAGGGTTAGGGTTAGGGTCCTGGGTCAGGGTTAGGGTTAGGGTTAGGGTTACGGTTAGGGTCCTGGGTCAGGGTCAGGGTCAGGGTTAGGGTCAGGGTCAGGGTCAGGGTCAGGGTCAGGGTCAGGGTCAGGGTCAGGGTCAGGGTCAGGGTCAGGGTCAGGGTCCTGGGTCCTGGGTCCTGGGTCTTGGGTCCTGGGTCCTGGGTCAGGGTCAAGGTCAGCCGTGGGTCAATTGTCGGGGGGTAAATTGTCGGGGGTCAATTGTCGGGGGGTCAATTGTCGGGGGGTCAATTGTCGCCCACCCCTATCCGAACCTTGCTGAGCGTTCAAGGAAATATCTATCTGCGCCGGCGAGCTCAGCAGCACCAGAGAGATTGTTTTCTACAGCAGGGCACATCCTGAAGTTAAATCGCCTCAGCCTTAAGCCAACAAACTTTGAGGGGTGCTTGTTTCTCAAAAAGAACATCGGAACATTTGGGGACAACTTCGGCCCCTGTCCAAATGAATTTGAAGCCCCAAATAAAGAGGACTGTCCCCCTTCTTCTGAGCTGTGCACAGAAGATTATTCTGATTCAGAGTGCTCAGATATTGTCATTTCATCAGACGATGAATCTTAGACTATGATATTTTTAGTTTTGTGTCCTGGTCAATTGGTCGTTTTATTTTCAATTTTACAAATTCGTTTACATTAACCTCACAAACCTTACAAAAATCCTCGGTCAAATCCTCGGTAAAATCGTCAAATTTCGCCGAGGCCGAGGAATTTCGAATCTATTTTTGACCGAGGCCGAGGCGAACCGAGGAATTGTCCTCCTGACCGAGGCCGAGGCCGAGGCCGAGGAAAAATCGCCATTCCTCGGTAAAACCGAGGCCGAGGCCGAGGACTCGGTCGACCCTTGGCTTCAACAAACAACAATAACTACGTCTGAGCATACAACCTTCAAATTCAATCCACCTACTTACTTAGATGCGACAGTGCAACATTTAAATTTTCATTGCCACAAATTCATACACAATACACACTACACAGCACGTCAGCATACCATTACACTGTAAATTATGCTAGCACTAGGGTTTTACTCTACAAACAAAAAAACAAACTAGAAAATCTGTGCCATTTTCCCCTAATAAAAGGTGGTCGATTATCGCGATAAGTCTCGAAAATTATCGCGATAATCGATAACGATTTTTGGAGAATTATCGCCGATAATTATCGGCCGATAATATCGGCTGGCAACCCTAGTTCAAATGGGGAGGTGAGTTTCTTTAATTTCAAGCAGGAGTGGTTCTGGTCGAGTTCAAATGGGGAGGTGAGTTTCTTTAATTTCAAGCCCGAGTGGTTCTGGTCAAGTTCAAATGGGGAGGTGAGTTTCTTTAATTTCAAGCCCGAGTGGTTCTGGTCAAGTTTAAATGGGGAGGTGAGTTTCTTTAATTTCAAGCCCGAGTGGTTCTGGTCAAGTTTAAATGGGGAGGTGAGTTTCTTTAATTTCAAGCCGGAGTGGTTCTGGTCAAGTTCAAATGGGGAGGTGAGTTTCTTTAATTTCAAGCCGGAGTGGTTCTGGTCAAGTTCAAATGGGGAGGTGAGTTTCTTTAATTTCAAGCCCGAGTGGTTCTGGTCAAGTTTAAATGGGGAGGTGAGTTTCTTTAATTTCAAGCCGGAGTGGTTCTGGTCAAGTTCAAATGGGGAGGTGAGTTTCTTTAATTTCAAGCCCGAGTGGTTCTGGTCGAGTTCAAATGGGAAGGTGAGTTTCTTTAATTTCAAGCCCGAGTGGTTCTGGTCAAGTTCAAATGGGGAGGTGAGTTTCTTTAATTTCAAGCCCGAGTGGTTCTGGTCAAGTTCAAATGGGGAGGTGAGTTTCTTTAATTTCAAGCAGGAGTGGTTCTGGTCAAGTTCAAATGGGGAGGTGAGTTTCTTTAATTTCAAGCAGGAGTGGTTCTGGTCGAGTTCAAATGGGGAGGTGATTTTCTTTAATTTCAAGCCGGAGTGGTTCTGGTCAAGTTCAGATGGGGAGGTGAGTTTCTTTAATTTCAAGCAGGAGTGGTTCCGGTCGAGTTCAAATGGGGAGGTGAGTTTCTTTAATTTCAAGCCGGAGTGGTTCTGGTCAAGTTCAAATGGGGAGGTGAGTTTCTTTAATTTCAAGCAGGAGTGGTTCTGGTCGAGTTCAGATGGGGAGGTGAGTTTCTTTAATTTCAAGCCGGAGTGGTTCTGGTCGAGTTCAAATGGGGAGGTGAGTTTCTTTAATTTCAAGCCCGAGTGGTTCTGGTCAAGTTCAAATGGGGAGGTGAGTTTCTTTAATTTCAAGCCGGAGTGGTTCTGGTCGAGTTCAAATGGGGAGGTGAGTTTCTTTAATTTCAAGCCGGAGTGGTTCTGGTCAAGTTCAAATGGGGAGGCGAGTTTCTTTAATTTCAAGCAGGAGTGGTTCTGGTCAAGTTCAAATGGGGAGGTGAGTTTCTTTAATTTCAAGCAGGAGTGGTTCTGGTCAAGTTCAAATGGGGAGGCGAGTTTCTTTAATTTCAAGCAGGAGTGGTTCTGGTCAAGTTCAAATGGGGAAGTGAGTTTCTTTAATTTCAAGCCGGAGTGGTTCTGGTAAAGTTCAAATGGGGAGGTGAGTTTCTTTAATTTCAAGCAGGAGTGGTTCTGGTCAAGTTCAAATGGGGAAGTGAGTTTCTTTAATTTCAAGCAGGAGTGGTTCTGGTCAAGTTCAAATGGGGAGGTGAGTTTAAATTATAATAAACTAGAATGCTCATGGTCACAGGGAGGAATGTAATAGTATTCTTTAGTATTCAGTTTTTATCCCATCAAAAGATATCCATCACAACCGAAGATATACAGCCTATTAAAATGTAGCTTGCACAAAACCGATCAAAATGTCGCTCCAACATCTTTGCACGTGCACGTTCGCTTTTCCACCTGAGTGACCATATAGAAGGTATATAATACTACTTAACATTAGGCTATTAAACACTTGAACAGGGCTCCCTAGAGGCACTGAGACTGTAACAATTCTCCTCGACAAATTAATGTAAAATACTGGAGTTTGGTACTGGACACGAAATCGTTAAGTGAAATTCGATTAGTGCTGAACTTACTGTTAGTGGAGAAATCAGGAAACGATGTACGGGGTCTGCAGAACGATGTTTAAACATCATTAATTTTTATGACTTGTAATCAAATAACGGGACTCAGCACATAATTGAGAACTGCTGTGTTTTCTTTCAACCTTCGCATAGTTACACCTCCAAAGCCATTACTTGTTTGTTGTTGTTCTGGTAGCATGGGCGTTTCTGTTCTATGTGTAATTTTAATGGCACTATTTGAACCATCTATGACGGGAAGCTCGGTTAGAAACGTTGAGTACAAGTTGGATAGCTGGATGGGATCACTGTACCCTCACCTCAAACACAAGAAGCTAAACGAGATAGCAATACCTGGCACTCATAACTCAGGGAGTTACCCAATCTCTATCGGATCCCGGACTACAGGTGACATCATAGATCTCAGCCATCTCTCAGACTTCGAGGAGTCCATTCCTGCCATCGTGGATCTTCTGAGTATGGTTGGTCCACGTTGGTCAAAGTCCCAGGAGCTCTCCATATTCGATCAGCTGAAGATGGGTATTCGTTACTTAGATTTGAGAGTGTATTGTGACGAGGAGACAGATGAGTACTACTTAGAGCACTCGTTTATAGGCTCTAATCTGACAGATGAGCTGTTACATATAGCACAGTTCGTGGAGGAGCATACCAAAGAAGTTGTCATACTGGACATGATGTCAGTACAAAACTGCAGTGAAAACAAAGTAGTCAGTCTTTTGGAGCGGTTTGGGAAGGTTTTCGGAGACAAACTCGCTCATCTTCCTACTGCTACCAAACGAAAGAAGAAAGAAAGGAAGAAGAATAAAAAATCTCATTCTTTACCTACTTACAGTCAACTCGTGAAAAAAAGAACAACCGTTTTCGTCGCGTTGAGAAAAGAATTCATATCTAAACGCTTCGATTGGCTTTGGAACAGCGACAAATTCACGATTTCTCCATTTGCTAACACGGAGAGCAAAGAAAAACTAAGAATTTTTATCGCAGATAAAATGTCTGAATCTCGATCACCTAAATCACTGTTTGTTTCCCAGATCATTTTAACCCCAACAACTCAGAACGTCTTTGCTTCATTGTTTGGTTCTGGAGCTAAGAGTCTACAGGAAATGGCTGTGGATTTAAACAAAGATTTTATAGATTGGGTTGAGGATTTTAGTCAGCTGAATCCGAACATTTTCATTACAGACTTTCCTGATAGGGGGTTAGTGAAGAAGATAATCAACATGAACCTTTAAACTTGTTGAAGATTATTGGAGTTGGACACTAGAATATCTTCATTTAAACTTGTTGGAGATTATTGGAGTTGGACACTAGAATCTTCCTTTAAACTTGTCGGAGATTATTGGAGTTGGACACTGGAATCTTCCTTTAAACTTGTTGGAGACTATTATAGTCGGACACTAGAATCTTCCTTTTATGGAAAGAAGATTTTTGTTAATATTGATTTGATTGGTTTTTGGATTTCTAGCTGCATCTGTTATAGTCTCTCGTTTTACTTGAAAAAATGATTTGCAAAATCAAAGAAACAAAATATTGAACGCAATTTAATTCTGAGTGCCCCTCATATATCTATATTATAATTCAATGAGTTATTCTGTAGACATATGTAAACAAATAGAAGTTGCATAATAACCATGGTGACGAGGATTGTTACACGCATGTGGAAAGATTTGCGAGCGACATTTTGTGACCACGTGCAAATTAGGTGAAAAAATAAGAAGTTAGGTAAAAACCAAAAGGTTTAATAGCAACGGTGCTATAATGCACACGTGCACGTGCAAAGATTGTCGGAACGGCATTTTTATCGGTTTTGTGGTAATTACGTGGTTTTTAGAGTGTCGATTGCATTATAATCGGCAGTATCTTCGGTTAGGATGGATATTTTTTGATACGATTAAAACTTTCTTTCAAATAATACTACTACATAAGTACATACTAGCGTCCTCCCTGTTAGCACGGGCGTTCTAGTCTTATAGTAATACTTGATAGCCAATCTTGAGATACACTGCCAAATTACGTAATTATATCGTAAATCTGTTTACGATATAATGGTAGAGTGGTAGAGAGGGAGAGTATGGTGGCCGAGGTGGGTCATTGTAAATTATTTCAAAATAAATTTAGAAAACCAAAAAAAAACCAAAAAATAACCAAACTTTTAAAAAATAAACCAAAAATAAATTTAAAAAAAAAAAAAAAACTAAACTAAAAAAAACTAAAAAAAAACCAGAAAAAAAAGCAATTTAAAACAATAAAAAACCAAAACAAAAAAAAAACAAAAAAAAATTAAAAAAAACCAAAAAAAAATTCAAAACAAAAATGAAATCGCTCCATATGGCCGAAATGTGCCATCAGCAGTCCTCACTGCGCGCCACAAAGAACGTACGTTGCGCGCGCGCGCAGATGTCTACAATTGTACCAAATGGCGATCGCGCTAACGCGTGCTTATTGTTCCCTCACGTGTAGTCTGATCCAGTTATTATTATCCACCTATTATTGTCCTCAGGTGAAATATATATGGCATACCGATAAACTCCTGTATTTGACGTGTGATTTAAGCGTGCTTGAAAACGACTGCAGACATTAGGTTATTGAGATTGAGTTCAGCATCTTGCCCGGCCCCATTGGCCGGACAAATCTGTATGCTAGTGTGGTTTACAAAAACACAATTTAGTCATTTTAGAGCAGTTTTTAACAGATAAATTTGTGTTCAAAGTTGAGAGATTACTTGGGCTTTTTATATTTTGTAGGATGATGTTAGCAGTGAAACAAACATTTTATCATAATAACTTACTTCGTATTCTAATCCTTAGAAAAGAATTATACCAACTTTATAATTTACAGAGTTTAACATTTAAACTTTCAAGTTAAATTGAAATCCTTATAACACGATTTTATGGGTAATGGCTGGGTGTACCGAAGAAAAAACAGTACAAAAACCAACAGAAGAATCAAACCCACATATAAAACAACCAAGTAAATGTTATAATTTAAGAAAACATTGTAGTTCTGCTAAAAAGAATTCAATGTTAAAATTTAATGTTAAAATTTAATGTTAAAAATTGAATATTAAAAATCTAAGAATCAATTTCATGCGTTTAATCGAGGTTTAAATGTGTTTAACCAACCAAGTAAATGTTAAAACAACCAATAAATGTTATAATTTAACAAAACATTGTAGTTCTGCTAAAAAGAATTCAATGTTAAAATTGAATGTTAAAATTGAATGTTAAAAATTGAATTTTAAAAATTGAATGTTAAAAATCTAAATATCAAATAAACTTAGGCCCGCAGCCATGCACATGTCGTTGCATATGTGAAACTGTTTGAAGTTCACTATCGCATCGGCAAACAAGTTCGCAGAATCCCCCCTCTCCTCGTTGGGGTCCAGGGTCTTGTTTGTGCAGACAGCCGGATCAAGAAACATTGATCCGACCCCTTGCACATCCAGGACGATCATGGCCTCATTTGTCGTGGCAAGGGTGAAGTGTGCGAATGCAGTCGCCAAATCTGAAAGTTTCTTGTCTTCAGGTTGTGGCGACATATCGTCTAGCTTGCCAGTATTTAGGAGTACTTTCCATGGCTTCCCCTCAACAAACTCCTCGATGACAAAGGTTTTACCGCTTAACTTTTCCATTGCATGGTATACCTTTGTGTACCGCAGGGGCTGGGCGCTAACTTCACTAAACTGCCTGGCCAGTTCCAGGACAGTCTCGTTCAGTTGAACGCCCACCCGAGTTTCCTCCTGTAAGGCAGCCTCCGGTGCCAGTTCAGTAAAGTTGCCAACAACTTTGGTCCGCCCCTCTGCATGGTAATGTTTACTGACCATGCTCCGGTCAGTCCACCCAAAAGCATCACAACTGACGCTCGCAGGATACACATCCCGGAAACCCCCACTCCCCAGAGCCACCATTCCCTCCGCCATTGTTCCAAATACAGGGGCAATCTTCTCCCACGATCTGGTGGACAAGTCATATTCGGTGATAATAATATCACCCCTACTGCTGTACAATCCCGTCGGATTTCTCTTGGTGCTCTCGAGGATATCCTCCGTTGTAGGTTCACGCGCCCTCTTCTTTCGCGGCACATAAACCGAATTGGTAGGCTTTAAACTTCGTGCTGAAGAGTGAATAGTTGTTAATGATTAAAAAATGACACTAATTAACACAAGAGTGTTTGTTATAATTTATTGAACAATATAATTATGTCAAACAATTATGGCGGTTCACGATAGTGAACCAATAATTTAATTTTAATCCTGTGTAAATCCTGTGTATTGGTAAGATATCTGGCGCTATAATACTTGATAGTTGACAGTGCTTATTTTTTCCACCGAACATCTTAAACTTGTGCATGATGTAGTACAGTTCGAGAACGACTAAATAACAAGGATTTTTAACCTATCAACATTACTTTTGCATACTACTGCAATGCATTCGACTCCCTTATCTCATAGATAGTCTTTAAATGCAGACAGAGGGTTTATCAGAAGACGGAGTTGGGCGAGAATAAAGCCCTGTGAGAAGGGAGACTGGATAATAATGACTCAAGATGAGGTAGGATGGGAGGTCCTGAAGGGAAGGTGGAATAAGGTAGTCATTAGGGGGAAGAAACCCATAATCGGTTGTTAGGACCGTAGATGGTAGTACACTATACATAATAGGCAAGTACAATTATTTGGAGTTGTCTCTGTTAACCCAACTTACATCGTACACAGAATGCGTGTGTATAATATACAAATTACACAAGTATGTTATCAGCAAACAGTTACATGTGACTTTTCACTAATGGATTTTACTCCCTGTTCATATTACACATTGTATAGAAGATACAAGTGTTTTTACGTGGCTTGGGGTTGGCGGCGTATTTATAAATTTGAATACACTCAAATTTATGGTCGCGATTTAGTATATATTGCTTATTGTCTAACTAAACTCTTTGGGATGAAGCTAGCAAATCTCTAATGGCAATTGTGGATTATTATTCTCTCAAATGACACAAATTAACCTGTAGATTTCTAATACCGTTATGCCAATAACTGTGAATGTCGGAACACATCAGTTTTGCAGGCATTACTCATCAGTTCTACAAACAGGATATTCTAAATTTATCTTTAACTTGAAATTACTCTTCAAAATTCCAATTAAATTTAATGAGCGATAAGCCAATCTTCGAAACTCGGAATTCTGAACAAAACCCTCGCAATCCCGAATTACTGAATTAAAAGTATACTGGTATTCTCGAGATTAAATTGGAGTTAATAGTAAATGGGGGTAATTAATAAAGGGGGTATAATAGTAAAAGAAAAAAAAGCCCCGGTCGTGCTTGCCAGCAATGTGACATAAGATTGGTGGTTGTTCGGCCAAGGCCTTAGAACGCCCTGATGGCATCCTGATGGCATACTCATGTTACCCTAGTGGTGTGCCGGTTGCATACAAGTGGTTAACTGGTGGCGTGCCAATGGCGTTCTGGCGGCGTGAAAATATTCAATATTCACGTGTGCCCGAAAAATCGAGACAATTTAAAACATTATTTTGATCACAAACGTCAAATGCAAGAATTTATTTTAGAAATGATTAAATACATTTGACTCAAACAAGCCTTGGGTGGGTCACTGATTCACTGGGCTAGATAAGCAACCTTGGAACTGAAATGTGCGACAATAGGCTGGGTTTATTGTGACCTCCTTCTGGAGATAAGACCAGAAACAGAAAATATTTAACCTAAATGCCAACTTTGATAGATCCTAATTCCTAATGCTTTCCAAGTGTACACAAATTCTAGCAAGTGACACGTCAAAACCATGAAAATTACACTCACAGAAACAATCTATGATGAACAATAATTTATTAGACAAATTCTGATTCACCTAATTTGAACTCGCATGGCGCCTAACCTCTTATCCACAAGATTAAAAATCTATAAAAAATGGTTTACGTGTTTGATGATGAAGAGCGTTGACTGACATTTGTCTTGCAGAACAGTTAACGTATCAGAGCGGGAATATAATAATACGACACCTAGAAAACAACGAGCAGGGAACTGTGCTGATCATCAATCTTTTCCCTTCTTATCGAAACACTTTTCTCAGTTGACTGCCATTTTAATGTACACGAATCTTACTGCTTGCTATACGTTGTAAATAATAGATGGTACTGGTGTCGAGACCATATATGGTACAAGTTCCATGCTATAACAACTTAATTAATCACGTGACCCCTCTTCACGCATCGAACAGTAAGTGAGTAAATGGTCACGTGACTTTCATATCATAACGTATTATATATAAAACATAAACACGCTGCTACGAGATATTTATACA